CTTAATAGCAGAGTAGGTAACCTTTAACTTTTTTACTTATATAATCCTACCATACTTGAAAGGTTAACCTTTCTTGGGCTAGGGTACTCAGCCCCTAAGCCTTAAGCCCTCAACGAATCCTGAGCCCTGCAATTTGAGAGGAGTCCTGAGCGAACTTCAAGCGACAAAATGTGGGTTTAGGGTTTAGGGTTCAGGGTTCAGGGTTTAGGGTTCAGGCTCAGGGTTTAGGGTTTAGGGCCCCTTTACCGAGCCTTCCCAATTCCTCTCAGACAAGGCCGGGCGAATCCTCGCAGCACGATCCAGCTTCGAGGCCTCCAGTGGTTTTGGGGCTTATACTGTTACTATGCTGTATTATACTCTATACTCTATACTGAAAACTCTCTACTCCTTACTCTATACTCCATACTCCATACTCTAATATACTAAAGGGTTCAGGATTTATATGTAGGGTATAGGAGTCTAGGCTAGGGACAGGGGGTTGCGGGTGCCGGGCTGAATGGATTGGGCTTGTCCTGAAACCCTAAACCGCATGAGGTCGTGGTCGGGGTTGTGACGTTTGATGTCATAGTGACATAGTGTGTGCCATACTGTCTCTCGGGCAGCCAACCCCGAACATCGGCCATGCCGCCAATCTTTCGCACCTCGGGCAGCCAACCCTGTATGTCGGTTCGCGTGTTTGCATGTCGGCCGACAGCATCGCTTGGTTAAAATAGATCTTGTCCTCCAACCTTGTAGAGACAGCTTCAGCCCGAATTGTGTATACGTACCAACAGCCGGCCAGTAGGATAGTTCCGAAGCGATGCAGCTCAGGATTTCTAAAGCATGCACATTACTTTGGCTCGAGAGCCTTCGCAGCCGCGACCTTTCTCACGTGCTCCCCGTAGACCTTTCTTGAGTGCCATGGCGTCCCCAACTTCGCGCGATGCCGCCGTGGACTACAAGGGTCTGGGCCACAAGCAGGCCCAGCCGGACGGCCGCACCTCCCGCAAGTGGTACCTCGTCGGCGCTGGCTTGGCGCTGCTAGGCGTGGCTGGGGTGGCCGCCAAGGCGGCTCACTCCGGTGGTGCAGTGTTTTCCTCGAGTGCCGCATTAGGAGGTACGATCCAGGAGGCGCAGACATGGGAGGAGCTGCCCGGAATTGACAAGGTGATCCGCAAGGCCCA